GAAACCGCTTATCACACAGGCAATGTGACAACAAAAAGCGATTTACTAAAAATACCACCATCTTTTAAAATACTTACGGTACCTTAATCATGCAAGATTTTGTATAATACAACAGCAGGAACAGCAGCAACAATAAAGATAATGTAAAAAATATTATATTTTGCTTTAAAATATATCTTGGCAACAATTTACCCACTTCGGTGATGGGTGGTTTTCTGTTCTTTTCTATGAGTAAATATGAATTTTAAGGCTATTTTAATATTTTAGAGTTTAAAAGATATGAGGGATACAGAAACGTATTGCTGCCATGCCAGAAAAACACGGATTGTTGATGTATCACTAGAAGGCCTATGCAGAAGTCCAGCTGAAATATCAATATAGCAGCAGTATCCACGATTCTGTCCTCAAATAGATGAGTATGCAAAAACAACAATCATCACACTCAAATTCTGCTTATCATTTTTATCAGGAAACAATAAATGTACAGTAAAATCCTAAAAATGTACCTCAAATACACAAAGACTGAACTTAACACATAAGATAGCTGACATTTTCACATATCCCTGCAACCTTGTAAGGATAATTTTCCTGTCTGTCTGCAGGTTAAATGTATAGTGGTCAGGTCAAACTGTGGGTTCAATGGTGGTCAAGGTGTGAAGGTGCTTTTGTTTGTGTCTACATAGGCAGCGGTCTACTGGAAATAGCCAGTGGAAATCCCAAAGTGTTTATACTGTTTGATGTTTGAAAAGTGCAGTCTGTTTACAATCTATCAGCAGTAATCAACTTAGAAATGTGTCCTTTTAATCTAATTTAAATGTCAAATCTCTTTCACTGGCTGTCAAACTGAAAATTATTAGCACATGCAAACAATAGAAGCAAAAGCTCATCAGCATGTTCCAGCATTCACACTGCTGAGATGATTTTTTTATTAGAATCAGTATCTGGTTCTATTGCCAGGAAGATTTACACATATAAGGAATTTTCTGTGGTGTATTTGTGCAAGTATAAATATAAAAAATACTATAAGCACCAGTAGAGGGATTGTGCATATGTTGTAAGTAAGCACTAGAGACTGGATTGTGCAAATCCAGCTGTATGACTGGACTGCTTTATGGTCGAAGATGAAAACTTTGCTCTGTCTATTCCAGGATTTGCTGGTAACTCTCAGAAAACCTGTCACTGAACATCACAAAAGAAAGATCAGGAACTTCTACAGCCTGATTTTAGCATAGCAATCTGGTCTGTGCACACAGGCAATACCCAATTAGGGTCCTCAGACAAAGCAACTGTGAACGGCTTTGCCAACAGTCACATCCTACCTGAACAACGCTGTATGTGTCAAAGTGCAGAGATGGATAAGTGCCGTTGTGGATGTGAAATGATACAATGGTGCTCGAGTCATTTTCTCACAGAGATCAACATGAAAGTTACCAGAGAAAATCATTGTTGTTCAATGAAACAAGTCTAAGAATTGTCTCAGACTCAAGCAGGAGCTGTATCCAATAAATCTTACAAAGTGGGGTGTGGTAAAGAGACTGGCAATCATTATATTGTATTGCAGTATTCAAGTCACACCCAAAGCAATTAAATATGAGGCACAAACTGCCGTGAGTTATTGACCAAGTACGTACACAAATCACTCGGGAGAACTATCTTGGATTATTGATAAAAGAGTGTGACGACAACAGTACATTCCTGCCAATCCTGTCCAAATATGTGGCAGCAAATTAGTCTGTCTGTGCTGTTATCTGACCTCTTGACTCAATCCCCCTCTGAACCTCTGAATGAAGGTGAGTCGTACGACAAGTGACCACTCCTGGGTACTTCTGACTTGGTGTTTGTGTATTGAGGTTGACTTTGTTGCCACTGAAAGTAGACAGGAAGCGTCATTTCTTATATAAGTTACTGTAGATCAGTGTTGAGGGGCAAGCATCGGAACACTTATAAAACATAATGTATATTCTTTGACATCTAAGCCTAAAGAAAACAAAAGATACAACTATGTAAGAATATGCCTG